AAAAAAAAAAACGATTTTCTTGAAACTATATCATTTTAGACATAAAATCACCTATCGACCCCATGAGAACCCCGAGTTCACGCAGTTATGCGTCTAGTTGTTTGTTTAATCACGGGATTACATTCTTTAGCCGGTTATTGGCAGGAATTTATTAGTGCATGCAATGGAGTTTTAGTATTTATTTTATACACGCACATTGCAAAGGGAACGAATTTTGTCTGTTTAATCACGGGATATATTGTTTACCCATTATTGGCAGGAATTTATTAGTGCAATGGAATTGTTAGTATTTGCTCTCTCTAAGGTTCGGCATTGCTCAAGATGGGTATAACTTTATTCTACGCAATCCCCAGTACACTGCGAACAACTTTGGTAAATTACGCACTGCTTATTCGCATGGAAGTATTTAATGGTGTAAAGGAATTTAATGAACTTTTTCCGTTTTTAGTTGAAAGACCTTAGGGATCAGTTGAATAACCTTAAGGCCCTCCAGAATTCAGGAACGGTTGATGCAGCGCTGAGACGATTAAGGGAACTTTTGGCTCGCTATGCTTCTCTGTTTGACCCACACACCACGTTTGCCGTATTGGAAAGTCTGGTTGATGTCGCCAGGGACAACGCTGCGGCTAACACCTACCGCTACTCAATTTTGCGCCAGATCCGTCCTATGCTTAACAGCACATCCCTACAACCTGTGCTCATCAAATTAGTTGGTTCAGAAGAGGAAATCGCTATTGCTAAAGAAATTCAAAAGGCTATGAAATCATCCTCCACTAATTTCAATAGGACCGGTAGCCCATACCAGTCTCCAGGCCCACACAACGTCACATGTTTTCTGAGTGGGCAGAAAGGCCACATGATGAGACAGTGTTACAGAAGAGCGCGACGAGGTCGGGATAGAGGACGGAGGACCTAGAGGTCCATTCTATTAGTACATGGCCTGTATTACAGCTTGAATTTATTTAATAAATGTCACCATCCTTATTGTGTTTTCTGTTACGTCATAGTTAAGACCTCTGGGTGATTGATTTGCGACCAGGCCTGCATATGAATTCGCTAAGGTGGAATTTTAGACATGGTCTTCCACAGGAAGACTCCCCTATATTCGCTATACGGGGACGTGCCGCCAYCRAGGGTATCGWTTTRAGDGATTTTACTCTGGAACAGGGTATCGATTTCAACGAATTTTCTCTGGAACAGGGTCAGGGTTTTCTCTGGAACAGGATATCGGTTTCAGCGATTTTACTCTGGAACAGGGTATAGTTTTCAGCGATTTCACTCTGGAACAGGATCAGGGTTTTGATGTCCCAGCGGCCCCCCCCCCCCCGGGAAAAGCTTTCCCTGCTACTACTGTAAACGCACAAAATATTTGGAAGTTGCAGCTAGAAACGTTTGCATTAAAATTGTTTTTTTTCAAGCTAGAGACAATTCTTTATCACTGTTAAACTTTTAAAAAAATAATATACAGGCCTAGAACCATTTACATGTAACTAAGGGTTTGCGGTTTCCGAGTTTTGTCGCAGATATTTGAGCTCACCGTCTCAATGGCCTGCAGTTGTCTATTGTAACAGAGAGCCGCCCAATCTCGAGCCTAGAGTCTTCACGGCTAATGTCAGCGGTATAGGTAGGGGATATTTTTTAAAACCCATTTATAATGCATTGTGACACTGAATAAAATAAAAGTAGACCATTTTTTTGAGTAAAATTTTATTTTTAACTATTATAGGTTCAAAGTCACTGCTTGGGCTCCCTGTTACAATAGACAACTGCAGGCCATTGAGACGGTGGGCTCAAATATCTGCGACAAAACTGTGCGACGCTTTTCCGTCGCAAATTATGCAAATTAGGTCAGTTTTGTTTTTGCCGCTTTAGAGCATCAAAATGACAAAAAAGAAGGTTTAGCACACAACTTAGTTTAGGAACAGTATTGACACCTTTTAAAAAACACAAATGTGTGAAAACATGTGTGGTTATGCGATAAAAGTATGATATTTTTGATCAAACAGGCGAGCGCGCGCTAGCGACTTTGAAAAACCGATTTGAAAACAATACCG